TGGTCAATCTCCTCCCGTGTGATTAACTACATCTGAAAACCCATTGGAGGGTCAGCTCTGATTCTATGGTACACAGCAACAACAACAACTACAATGGATGATCAGGAGGCTGTTGTGCGATCGGAGCAGGGGACCACTGCATGGTTTCGAGTTGAGAAGGGAGTGCGTCTGGGTTGTATTCTATCTCCATACCTGTTCAGTCTATGTGCTGGGCAAATTATCTGAGAAGCTGGACTCTATAAAGGGGAATGTGGCATAAGGATTGGAGGGAGACTCATCACTAACCTGCGCTATGCAGATGACACCTTACTAACTGAAAGTGAAAAAGACTTGAAGCACTTGGTGCAGAAGATCTAGGATTGCAGCCGTGAGTATGGATTGTGTCTCAATATCAAGAAAACAAAGATTCTTACCACTGAACCAATAGGCAGACTCATGATGGATGGAGAGGAGATTGAAACTGTCAATAGCTTCATCTTGCTTGGATCCACAATTAACACCCTTGGTACAAGCAGTCATAAAATGCATTGCACTGGGAAAATTTGCAGTTAGGGATCTCTTCAAAGTATTGAGGAGTAGTGATATCAGTTTGAGGACTAAGGTGCATCTGATTCAGGCCATAGTCTTTCCAATTACTAGCTATGCATTCAAGACCTGGGCAATGAATAAGGATGACAGAAAAAGAATCGATGCCTTTGAGCTGTGTGGTTGGAGAAGAGCACTGAACATCCCATGGGCGGCCAAGAGAACAAGCAGATATGTCTCGGAGATGGTTCAGCCAGAGTGCTCTTTAGAGGCAAAAATGATGAGGCTTCGCCTCACATATTTTGGACATGTTGCTAGTCTATGGAGAGGGGCGTGATATGGGAAGGGTGGAGCGCTGGCGAAGGAGAGGAAGACCCTCAACCAGGTGGATTGACATGGTGACTGCTGCAATGGGCTATAGTGTGTCAGGAAGTATAAGGACAGCACAGGACATGGCTGGGTTCAGATCTTTGGTTCCAAGAGTCACTATGAGTCATACTTGACTTGATGTAACCTTACAACAACAACAGTGGATGATATAGTTTGTTGTTGACTTTAGGTACTGTCAAGTCACCTCCAGCTTGTTGTGACCTTATGTCCAACTGAATGAAACCTTTCTGTATAACATGCCCAACGTACGGGAGACAAGTCTCAATTTCGCCTCAAGGCAAACAAATGTTTGCTCCTTTGGTAGTCCATGGTGCATTTAATACTCTTCACCACACCAAATTTCCAAGGCATCAATTCTTCCTCAATCTCCCTAGTCATTGTCTACTTTATGTGTATTGTTGTTATGTGCTATCAAGTCACCTGTGACTCATAGTGAGCCTATGTACAATAGACTTGAACCCTGCCCTGTCCTGAGCCAGTCTCACTGACTTGACACATCTACCCTCATTACTACAGTTACTGTGTCAACCCATATCATGCAAGCAAGCTCTTCCTCCTTTGTGTCAGCCCTCCATCCTTCTAAACATGATGTCCTTTTCCAAAGACTGGTCTCTCCTGACCACATGCTCAAAATATGTGAATGGAGCTTCAAAATCCTTGCCTCCAAGGAGAGAGAAACTTGGTTTCACCCTCTCCAAAACAGACCTGCTTGTTCTCTTGGCTGTCCATGGTATGTTCAAGACTCTTTTCCAGCACCACAACTCAAGGGCATCAATTCTTCTTTGACAGACAATCCTTCATTATTGTCTAGCTCTCCAATGCATAGCAAGTAATTGGGAAGACCAAGGCCTGGATCAGGTGCACCTTAGTCCCTAGACTTACATCATTACTCTTTAGGACTTTGGATAAGTCCCCAACAGCATACTTCCCCAATGCAATTCATCTTTTGATTTTCTGATGATGGTGCCAACTGGGACAGCAGTGAGAATCTATATCTTCTTGATTTTGAGTTTCAGTCCATTTTGGAGACGACAGCCCTCGACTTTCTGCAGGAAACATTTTAGGTGCTCCTCAGTTTCGGCAAGCAAGTTTGTGCCATCTACATTTCGCAGGTTATAGGGCAGGCTCAATATCAGCAGTGAAAACTAGGCCAAGTGCTGACTGTGGATCAGATTATCAGCTACTCAAATGTAAGTTCAAACTAAAACTAAAGGAAATAAAATCAAATCTTCAAGAACCAAAATTTGACCTTGAGTCTATCCGACTTGAATTTAAAAACCATCTCAGAAACAAGTATGAGGCCTTGAACACTAATGAATGAAGACCAGATGAGCTGTGGGAGGATATCAAGAATATCATCCAGGCAGAATTCAAAAGATCATTACAAAGACAAATAAGGAAAAGACCAAGAGTATGCCAGAAGAGACTCTAACTAAATATTGCACTAGAATGACAAGAAGCCAAAACAGAGACAAAAGCAGGAAGTTAAGGGGTTAGACAGAAGATTTCAAAGAGCAGCTTGGGAAGATAAAGTATTATAATGTAATACACAAAGAGCTGGAATCAGAAAACCAAAAGGGATTAACTCACTAGGCATATCTTAAACTGAAGGAAAGAAAGAACAAATTCAAGCTTCCAAGTTGCAATACTTAAGGATGCTATGGGCAGGATTACAGATTAGGTGATTAGGCACAGAATTCGTTCCTCCCACAGTACCTTTGTGGATCTCACCACCTCTGCCTTGGGGAGAGTAGAGCGGAGCCAGTGGCTGAGAGACAGGAGAAGGAGAAAGACCAGTGTAGAGACTGTTGGGATAATACAGAATAGCTCTCATGGACTGATGAATGAGAAACAAGGCTGATTTAGCTTTATCTCACATATTTTGGGCATGTTGCTAGGAAAAGCTATTCTTAAGAAAGGGACATCACACTTGGAAGGTGGAGGGTCTGCAAAAGAGATGAAGACCCTCGATTAGATGGATTGACAGTGACTGCAGCAATGGGCTCAAGTATGACAGAGATGATAAGGATGGCACAGGATAGAACAGGGTTTAAATCTGTTTATCTATCGCTATGAGTAGTACATGGCCTGATGGCACCTAACAACAATAGCCAACTTAGAATATATTTAAGACGGAGAAGTATTGTTCATGGAATCAGCAAGTATAGACAAGTCGTTGAAAGGTTTTTGCTAAAGAGAGGAGCAAAGGAGCAGTAACTAGTGGAGAATCTTGTCCAGGGAAGGTGATTTGTTCCTGTTTTCTTTTAGAGTGTGTTATAACTTGTTGTTACTATTGATACGAGTCTGTTGAGTTGGCACTGACTCACAGTGGCCTATGTACAATACAATGAAATCCTACTTAATCCCATACCGTGCTCACAATCGCTGCTGCCCATTGTTTCAGTCACTGTGTTAATTCCTAGTCCATCTCCTTGAGGATCTTCCTGTCTTTGGGCGATCTTTCTACTTTTCCAAGGACTGAGGGCAGGAGTGGAGCCTGCTGTTAGTAAGGAGGCTTGAAAAATATATTTGGTAATGACATGTCAGATAAGGGACTTATATCTAGAATTTATAAAATACTCAAGCACCACAACAAGATAAACAACCCAATTGAAAAATGGGCACAGGATATGAACAGACACTTCACCTAAGAAGACATTCAGATGGCTAACAAGCACATGAAGAAATGTTCAAAATCCCTAGCTCTAAGAGAGATGCAAATTAAAACAACAATGAGTTATTATCTCACCCCAGTCAGAATAGCAAACTTTAACAGAACAGCAAACATCAAATGCTAGCAAGGTTGTGGAAAATTGGAACGCTTATTCACTGTTGGTGAGAGTGTAAAATGTTGCAGCCACCATGGAAGGCTGACATGGCGCTTTCTCAAAAAGTTGCAAATAGAAATATCATTTGACCCAGCAATTCCACTACTCGGAATATACCCCAAAGAAACCATAACCACCACCCAAGCAGATATATGCGCACTCATGTTTATTGCGGCTTTTTTTTGCAATAGCAAAGAGCTGGAAACAACCCAAGCGCCCATCAACAAAGAACGGACAGAGAAACTCTGGTATATTCACACAATGGAATACCATGCAGCATTGAAAAACAAGGAACTCATGAAATATTATGCGAAATGGGTGACCCTGGAAGACATTATGCTGAATGAAATATCTCAGTCACCAAAGGACAAGTATTGCAGAGGGCCACTGCTGTAAAACGGGACTGACATCGGGGTTAAGGGAAGACAGAAAAGGAGGGGATGTATTATGTCTACTGCATTGAAACAGATGAGGGAGAAACTGTTTAAAAGGGATATATGATCTGATATTATTGTCATGAAAGGAGCCCAGAAAGAAGGCTGCGCAATGGAGTGGACTTGGGGAGTGGGGCAGGGATTGCATAACAATGAAAAGATTTTTTCTTTTACTTTTCAAGGAGAAGAATTGGCGAGGAGGGGGTGGGCAGGGAGAAAAGTGCAACAATGTATGACTGGAAACCCTAAGTCTCTGTGAACTTTCATTAAAATTAATTTAAAAAAAAAGGGGGGGGGGGAAGAAAAGAAAAGGAAAGGATGTTTGTTGGGACCGTAGTCCCTGAGCGTAGGGCGCTGAGGAGAGGGCCCGTGACAGTCCAAGCCCAGGCCAGGTGAAACACGAGATGTGGCTTCAGGTACTCCCTCTAGGACAGGCATGTGTGCCCCTAAAACCGGCACGTGTGCCAACCAACGTCAATCAAAGTTTGCGGGGAAGAGGGCCCTTGCAGACCACCACTCGAAACCCACCAACTCCAAGGTGCCAAATGGGCGTGGCCTTTTAGTAAGGAAGCTTGTGTAGTTTATTGTGTGAGCCAGTGGAAGTTGAGAGGAGGCGGGACCTGTGTGCGTGATGGCCAATAGAGACAGAGCTCTCCTGGCACGTGCTCAGGGGGCGGAGCACGGCTCTGCCTCCGCGCACGCGTGCCGGGCCTCACTCCAAGGAGCGATTGCTGGGTGCACGCGTAGGGGCACGGCCACCGGCTCCCGCCCTATCCTCTGCGGCCACCCTTCCGGGTCATGTGACGCCGAGGGCGCGCACTATTGCTGGATGCAGAGCCATTTCGTGATGGTGAAGGTGGAAGTGGCCCAGAGATAACATCCTGAGGCGATTTGACCTCACACTTAGGCCTGAGGTCGCGGATCGGGCTTGGATGGGCGGTCCAAGCAAATGATAACTTCCAGAGGAGAGGGTCGCCTATGCTAATGAGTGGGGCGTGGCCTCGAGCTCCTCGCTAAGTAGCTGTGGGGCGGGCTCACCATTGGTGCCTGACGTGGAGGAGAGGCGGGACTTCCCGCCGATTCGGGGATAGGTAAGTTGGAACGTGAGTTCTGCGTGGTGGTCACCGTCTCGATCTGTAAAATGCAGAGGACGGTGACCTTGTGTGAATGCTGCGTAAGGGCTGATGCGATTCGTCGCTGGAAGAGAGGCGTGCCCTTGCCTGTAGTTAAATACTTAAGGGACCTGAGCTCAGCCTACTGACAAGGGGGCGTGGCCTAGTTGAAGGATGGGAGTAAGGGGCGTGCCCACTCGCTGATACATTTTCTGCGCTGAGTTTGGCCCTGCCATTTCTCCTTTAGGTGCTACCTCATGGGGTCCCCCACGACCGGCGATCCAGAGGGAAGCTTCGTCCCCGCGCTTCTCCTCCTGGCCGGCGGGACGCTGGTGGCCGCCCTGCTGGGTGCTGCGCACCGCTTGGGGCTCTTCTACCAACTGAGGCACAAGGTGCGGGGACTTGGACTGGAGGCCGGCTGGGGGCAGCCCAGGAAAGGGGAACCTTAGCGCCCCTTGAAATTCACTCACCTTACGGGAGGGGAAAGTGATACCCGACTGGTCTGCAGAGACGAAGTGAGGGACTGCCCAGGCCCCTGGCCTGTTGCCACGCTGCCCTAGAGAGAACCTGGACTTTATCACTCAGAAGGGAGAAGTGGGAAGTGGCAGCTGCTGCACCCCCGCGCACCTCCTCCCTAGAGGTCAGACAAACCCTTTTCCTAGAACAGAAGAAACCGCTATGGTTCTGCCCTTTCAACCCAGAGGAGTCAAGTTGGACAGGCACCCCACAGGACAACAATGACGAATTTGTGACCCCACTGCTGAGCTTCATGCTTTTAAGAGGGAGCTTCCTCAGGTAGACCACACCACATCCCTGAAGTAAGCGCTGTTGTCCTCGTCCCCTGTCTTCCAGTGAGGAAACATGTCCACATGTCCCAGAGAAGTTCTGTTGCACCTTGAGAGAGTTGACCTTTTAGAGGAGAACTGGCCCCCAAAGCATCTTAATGACTGGGTACCACTTTCAGAAGTTGACCCCTCTTCAGGGCCCCCACTCCCTCACCCCAGACCTTCCTCCCAGAATTGAGAGGCTGTGTGTTTCACAGTAGAGCTTGCTCCATTGAACTTTTTTTAGTGGCTGAGGTTTGTTTTTTTTTTAAATGGATTTGCAGATCTTACAAGGTAGTCTGGGTGACCTTGAACTTCCAGCCTTTCAGTTAGTAGTGGAATCTGGAGTATGTTAACTATTGCGCTGTTCAGAAACTGAACCCTTCTGAGGCCATCCCTGTTCCTCATAGCCAGAAGCAACACTCACCCTCCACAGCCTCCTCTCCAATCCCAGCCCTTCCTCTCATAATTATCAAGTGACACCATCAGCCCCGAGGACTTGTGGGGACTAAAATCCCAAGCTGCAGGGTGAATGAGAGTGGACTCTGGGCCTGCGAGGGAGGCCTCAGCACTCCTTCAGGCAGGAAGCGTGTGCCGGGCCCGTGGCAGCTGGCAGCCTGTCAACTGGGCGTGTGCCTTTCTTGCAGGGGTTGTGAGAGGGAAGGAGTCAGGCCACCAGGGGCCACTGGCAGGCAGGGATCTCTGGAGTCCCAAGCTAAGGGTTGGGCCTTTGACCCATGCCCTGGTGAACTCCCCAGGTCCTATCTAGGTCTGTCTCTCCTCTGACTGAGGTTGCCCCATCATCCCCAAGGCAAGCCAGTGCAACAGACCAGCACGCTAAAGAGCATTGGTTCAGAGTGTGTTCACTGTTTTCCGACTAAACCCTAGTGTCCTTCACTGTTCTGGGGTATAGTAATGATCCTTGAGCTGAGGGTTCACGGGAGGAAGCAGATACGTATCCCCTGACCCTGCTCCTGCCCTCTTTCCCAGGGTGGGCTCACCACTCCCCCAGCTTGGTTTAGTCCTTAGTCATCTTGCCCCTCTTTCTCCCCCCCACTTGAACCCAGGTGGACAAGGCCAGCGTCCGACATGGTGGGGAGAATGTGGCATCTGTCCTGCGTGCCCATGGTGTTCGTTTTATCTTCACGCTGGTGGGCGGGCACATCTCCCCGCTGCTGGTGGCCTGTGAGAAGCTGGGCATCCGTGTGGTAGACACCCGCCATGAGGTCACAGCCGTCTTTGCAGCTGATGCAGTGGCCCGCCTGTCAGGTGAGGGTCACAGAGAGTGTGCCAGGGCTGGGTGTACCACGAGGTGGAGTGTCAGGGAGTGGGCAGGGCCATGACAGTGTCTGTGTTTCAGGGACGGTGGGTGTAGCAGCGGTGACGGCAGGCCCTGGCCTCACCAACACTGTGACAGCTGTGAAGAACGCCCAGATGGCCCAGTCCCCAGTCTTACTCCTGGGGGGCGCTGCTGGCACCTTGCTGCAGGTACCCGACTCACATGGGAAATTGAGAGCCCCAGGGAGGTCTGGGGAGCTCACACACTGACACTCTGACCTTGTCTTTGCCAGAACCGTGGGGCGCTGCAGGCCGTTGACCAGATGTCACTGTTCCGACCGCTCTGCAAGTTCTGTGCGTCGGTGCGGAGGGTCCGGGACATCGTGCCCACCCTGAGGGCTGCCATGGCTGCTGCCCAGTCGGGGACCCCAGGTAGGTGGCGGGTCCTGGGCCGTGTCAGATCCTGGAGGCTAGAGGCCAGAGGTGGCACCCCAGACTCAGCGTCCCCTTGTCCCTGCAGGCCCGGTGTTTGTGGAACTGCCCATCGATGTGCTATATCCTTACTTCATGGTTCAGAAGGAGATGGTGCCCGCCAAGCCACCCAAGGGCCTTGTAGCTTGGGTGGTCACTTGGTAAGGAATCCCAGTCACCACATTCTCCCCTGTTCTCTACTTGTCCTACGACCTCTGGCCACATCTCAAGAAGAGTTTGTCCTTCCTTGCCTGAAGTGGGAGGAGCAGTCTGAACAGAGGGGATGGTACATGCAGAGGCCCTGGGATGGGGACTGGGTTAGAAAAGCCAGGAGGCTCCCGTGGGGTAGGAGCAGGGGAGCAGTAGGCGGGGGCGTGGTGGTAAGCCCAGAGCGACAGGCCAGAGCCACTCTGAGATCTTGGGCTTTTAATTTTACATCCTGCTGCCTAGGAAAGCATGTAGGGGTGAATCAGAGGCCTGAGACTCTGTGATTTGAGTATTGGTGATGTCCTGGGGCAGCTGTTGAAGAGTAGATTGTGGTGGGGTGGGAACTGGGGACCCAGAGGAGCTGGCAAGGACTGAGGGTGAGAGGAATGGTGGTGAGGTTCGAGGTGGTGGCTGTAGGGTGGAGAGGTCAGGTGGATTGACTATAAGTGCCTGGACCCCGGCTTTCTTCAAGACTAAGCAGTCAGGAGCTTGGAATGCTCAGGGCAGCAGGGCTGGCTTAGGACAAGCCTGAAGGTCTTTTTGGAAAAGCCAACAGTTTGAGGGCAGGGGGCCCTTACGGTGGAGGAGCCTGGATGATGTGAATGGTTTACAGTTGGCTGCTAACTGAAAGGTTGGTTGTTGAAACCCATGCAGAGGCACTTTGGAAGAAAGGCCTGACAGTTGGCTTTGAGAAAGGGCGCAGTTTGGAAAACCCTGTGGAGCACAGATCTCTGACACACATGGGTCCCCAGGATTTGGGGTCGGCTTGATGGCAGCTGGTGTCTTTGAGTTGAGAGAGTGTAGACAGGCTCCCAGCAGTGCCACGTCTGAGCAGGGGTGGCAGGTGGGATTGGTCTGAGGGCACTGCCAAGACTCACCTGGCCACAGGGTGGAGTTGCCTCTTTCTACTTCCACCAGGCCAGCCAGGAGACAGGCCGGCCCTCTGCTCTCTGGACATGTGCAGAGGCCCTAAGGGCCGGCTCACTGAGTTTTGGTTTTTTTCTGTGGCCATGACAGCCTGATGATTAGAATTCCCTGCTCCCCGGCCTCCTGCTCACTTCCCTCCCCTTGTCCTTGTCCTCTGCTAGACCTTTGGGCAGGCCTCTTCCGGAGCCTTTTGGGTTTCTTCCCTTTGTGCGGAAAACATAGATAACAAAACCTGCCATCTCAACAATTTCCACATGGACAATTCTGTGATACTGATTACATTCTTCTAGTTGCACGGCCATTCTTACTGTCCTTTCAATAACAAACTCAGTGTCTCCCAAGCAGAAGATGCCCCACCTCTCTCTTCCTGTGTGTGTCGTCGAGTCTGAACTGACCCATAGCTGACCCTCTGGCAGGTTTTCAGAGGCAGTTAATCGCATGGGAGGAGATGGCCCATCTTTTTCCTTTGGAACAGCTGGTGGGTTCGAACCGCTTGCCTTTGGAATGGCAACACAGCTTCTTACCACTAGGTCACCAGAGCTCTCTCTGTTTCCCATCCTTGTAACCACTAATCATCTTTGGTTTTTCTATCCTTGCTCCTCTGTGCGATCAGATGGCATCTACTCATTTGTGTCTGACTGATTTCTCTCAGCATCATGTTTTCAGACTTTATGTGTGTTGCAACATGTATCATCTCACTGTGGCTGAGAGTGTGCCAGCATGTGGCCGGGCCATATTTCATTTATCCTCTCGTCTGTTGATGGACGTTTGGATTGTTTCCTTTTCTAGTGTGTTTTTCCCCCCTTTATACGTTGGTGTACACAGCTTTAGTTTGCTTGGCTCCATAGTCAACACTCTTGGCACCAGTAGCCAGGAAATTAAAAGGTGCATTGCCATGGGAAAACCTGCTGTTAGGGACCTTTCCAAAGTACTGAGGAGCAATGGTGTTTCTCTGGAGACTAAGGTGCATTTGATACAGGCCATGGTCTTCGCAATCACCTGTTATGCATCAGAGAGTTGGACAATGACCAAGGAGGATAGAAGGAGAATTGATGCCTTTGAGCTGTGGTGCTGGAGAAGAGTATTGAGAATACCATGGACTGCTAGGAAAACAAACAGATTTGTCCTGGAAAGGGTTAAACCGGGTGGATCCTTGGAGGCAAGGATTCTGAGGCTCCATCTAACATACTTTGAACATGTTGTGAGGAGAGACCGGTCCTTGAAAAGGGACATCATGCTTGGTAGGGTGGAGGGACGGTGCAGAAGGGGAAGGCCCTCTATGAGGTGGATTGATTCAGTGACGGGGGCAATGGGATGGGAGTGTCAGAGATAGTGCAATTGGCACAGGACAGAGCAGAGTTTAGGGCTGTTGTACATAGGGTCGCTATGAGTCACAAGCAACTCGACGGCACATAACAACAACAACAATAACGTTGGGGTGTCTCTTGGTCTCATCCTCGACCTCTCACTCTCTGAAGTCTTGACTCCTCTTTATGAGAGAAAGCAGAGGTCCTGGCTCTGAACTGGGGGCTGCAGCCTGCACCTCTCTCTTGGGCTGGCAGCATGAGGGCAGAGGCCGAGCTAGACTGATCTCTGGGTCTCCAGGCCTCACACAGGCTCTGGTGCAGTCGGTGATCCTAAACTAAACCAGCAGAGTCGAAGCTGACTCGTGGTGACCTCATATATGTCTCTGCGTGGGACTGATTTGAATATTTTTATCATTCATATACATTGTATTTCATTCTTGTACACTGTATTTTATTCACTCTTTCATTAACATTATATTTCATGCATGTACATTGTGGATTTCCCCCAACCCCCTTAAAATCATCTTATTAATAACTACATTTTGTCAAAGTGTAAGCTGGCCCCTTCATGCCTTGTGCCTTACCAGCCTCCTTTTAGACAGCCAGTTCCTGATTTGCCCATCCCTATCCAGCCAGTACTCTGAGGGAACCAGCCTGTCCTTTTTTCAAAAAATCCTCTGTTCAAGTTGGAAGCTTGGAGCATCTGCATCCACATGCAAAGCCTAGACCAGAGCAAGCCGTCAGGGTGCAGCAGCCAACCCCAGCTCACAGCACGGATCATCTGCTCTTCTGGTTGGGTTCTGGTAATGGCCGATGTTTTGAAAGAGAGTTGCCAGGCCTTCCTTCTGAGAGAGGTACCGCTGGTGGCCTGGAACCGCTAACCTTTTGGCTCACAGCTGAGCATGTCCACTGTCTGCACTTTCCAGGGACTCCTGGTACTCAACCCTTTCCTCTGCCCTTTACAGGTACTTAAAGAATCACCTGGCTAACCTCTTTGCGGGGGCCTGGGAGCCTCAGCCTGAAGGACCCCTGCCCCTGAGCATCCCCCAAGCGCCCCCCCAGCAGGTGAATCACCTCTCTTCTTTGGCTGAGGACCCTCATCTGACAGCACAGCCTTCCCCTGAGTCAGTACGGGGCCTTGATCATGGGGACTTTTGGAGACTTGGGGCGGCCCTCTGACCTCCTTCTTGCTCCAGGTCCAGCGCTGCGTGGAGATCTTGAGCCGGGCCAAGAGGCCCCTGATGGTACTGGGGAGTCAGGCCACGCTGCCCCCGATCCCTGCCAACAAGCTGAGGTGAGAAAGCCCCAGGCCTGTCCTCCTCCTCCTCACTGCATTCTTGGCCCAGGCTTCTCTGGAGCCCGGTGGGGAGAGGGAAGGCTCTTGGACACACTGACCCTTGCTCTGCCTGAATTCCCAGGGCTGCCGTGGAGTCGCTGGGCATCCCCTGCTTCCTGGGGGGGATGGCACGAGGGCTGTTGGGCCGCAACAACCCCCTCCACATCCAGCAGAATCGCAGCGCCGCCCTGAAGAAAGCGGATGTTGTCATTCTGGCAGGTGGGTTGGCCTCTTCTCCTTGTCCCTGTCCCTCGCCCTCTTCCTGTCCCTGTCCTTGTCCCTCTCCCATTTCCCTCTCCGCCTCCACCATGTCCCTTATCCTGTCCAGCCTGGTGCCCCAGCCTTTCAAGGGTTTGGCTTGTCCTCCAGCCCTGAGTCTGAAATCCAGGCTCCTGTCTCCACGCTGTACTTTCATGCTGGGACCCAGCCCCACAGACAGAATGGACACAGATTGGTCACCTTGGGTCTTCTCTACACATTATCACATGAAGTGCAACCCTGGGCGCACCGAGAGGTGGACGTCTTAGTTTTCTTGAGGTGCAAGGATAGAAACACAAGTGGACGACCAGCAAACAGCAGTTTAGGGCATCAAACCCAGGACGTTGGCTCTGGAGGAAGGTGCTCTGTCAGCCCTGGGGGAGATCCTTGTTTGAGCCGCTCCAGCTTTCTCGGGCTGTTTTGGTTCCTGGTGTCACCACGTGCCTAACAATCCTCCTTCTGTTTGTTTTTACTTCTTCTCTGCGCCTAATCTCCTCTCCTCCGCCCCTCTTCTTGGTTGTAATCTTTATTTTTAAACTTTTGTTTTATTTTTCCTTCACTTAATCTGCGCTTTCTGTATTGCACAGGTGGTTAGGTTTAAGGCATGTACTCTGTGCTGCAAAACCAAGCAAACCCTCTTCCCAAGGGGGATTGTATCCTGAGGTCTTAGGGGTTAGGACTCCAGTCCGTATTTTTTTTTTGTATCACTTAACTATTGCCGTGTACCAACCAACCCCTAATCCAGTAGCTTAAAGTGCACTTATAATTTCTCGAGATCTAGGTGGGAGTCAGCTGGGAGGTGCTGTAGGACTTGCTCATGCGTCTGCAGTCCTCTGGGGAAGCCGGCTGGCGAGGGAGGCAGCTGTGCTGTTTGTACGTTTGTAGGCCTCAGCTGGAGTAACTGCTTTCTCCCGTCGTGTTCCTCGCCATCCAGCAGGCGAGCACGGGCTTGCTGACTTGGTGAAGGATGAGCAGCACATGGGTCAACAGGGGAGTACAGCTCTGAGGGAGAGAGGCCTTTGCAAGGCCCTTTGCGTCCTATTGTTAGGAATGACGTGTCATCACCATGTGCCCAAAGCACGTCAGGAGGCCAGGGCAGGATGAACCCCAAAGGCAAGGATACGGGGGGGGGGCTTTGAAGTGAGTGTACACAGGGGTTCGGGTAAGGCACTGAGCTCGCTCCCGGGACCGTGGCCTTCTGTCCACTGAGGCCCGGGCCCTCCCACCCAGGCGCTGTGTGCGACTTCCGCCTGTCCTACGGCCGTGTCCTCAGCCGCAGCAGCAAGATCATCATCGTTAATCGTAACCGCAAAGACCTGCTGCTCAACTCAGACTTGTTCTGGAAGCCCCAGGAGGCTGTGCAGGGTGAGTCTCAAGTCTTCCCCTCTCTTCTTGTCCTCTCCTCCCAGCTCCTCATCGTCCTGTTTCACTGGGTGTTGGGGGGCAAGGCCTCGCCCCTGCCAGGGGCAGCGAGGCTTAGATGATGGGTCATTAAATGAGCAGAGAGTGGGGAGTTTGGGAGCCCCGGTGCTTTCCTGTCCCCTGGCTGCCCACCCTCCCTCCCGTGACAGCCCGGTGCTCTTGGGAAATGAAGAATTCACCTGAGGTCCCTGAGGCCTCCTCCCAGTCCCTCGACCCCACCTCTAGACTCTACTTCCTCCTCTCACAGACTTTGCCAAGCCCTTCTCTGCCCATCGTCCTAAGGATGTGACTCTCCCTGCTGCTGTGTTTGGCATCTCGCACACAGATGTCATGATTTGGCTTATGTTGGGGAAGGCTTTCTGTAACAGCTGGTGAGGCAGGTGGGCTGGAGAGGGGCCCATCAGAGACAGGGGGTCCACGACAGCAATGCTGATCTTTAGAGGAGGGACGGACGAAATGAAGAGATGCAGCCTCCCTGATCCTCATTTGCTCACTGCCAAGGTGCATCCTGGGCCATTTATCTATTTCTGGAATATTCTCTGTGGGCCTTCATACACTGGCTTGTGCCTGGTGGATGTGGTGACAGGCTCGGGGTGGGGGTGGTAAGCCTTCTTGTCGTTCGTTGATGTTGAGTTAGCTCAGCCTCACAGCAGAGTAGGACCATGTGCTGTGTGGTTCAAAGGCTGTGACACCCGAGCAATGTTGCCAGGCCTGTGTTACGAGGCACCTCTGGATAGGTGCATATCACCTGCTTCAATCGTGTTCCTCTGGCTTTGTCATTCTCTCTTGTCACTCTTCTGGCCTTATTGGGAAACTGTCCCAGGGCTTCCTGGCCCACCCCTGTACCTCCTCAGATGCCGCTGCCCTTTCAGGCCCCCTCTTCATGGATGCCCCCTCCTCTTCCCTCTAGGAGACGTGGCCTCTTTTGTGCTGAAGCTGGAGGAGGGTCTGCGGGGCCACACATGGGCACCAGACTGGGCGGAGGAGCTTCGAGAAGCCGACCGACAGAAGAAGCAGATCTTCCAGTAGGACTGGGTGGCACAGAGAGGGGGGCAGTTCCAGGCACACGTGGGGGTTCCCACAGCTGCCCACCACTGACCTGCATACCCGATTGCAGGGAGAAGGCAGCGAAGCCCACGGCGCAGCACCTCAACCCAGTGCGGGTGCTACAGCTGGTGGAGGAGACCCTGCCTGAGAGTGTGGTCCTGGTGGTTGATGGTGGGGACTTCGTGGGCACTGCTGCGCAGCTGGTACGGCCCCGTGGACCCCTGTGCTGGCTGGATCCTGGTAAGCAGGGGGCCACACCCTGGGAAGTGTGTGCTCCTGGCCCCTTCATACCAACCTGCTCTTGGCCTTCCTAGGGGCCTTCGGAACGCTGGGGGTCGGCGGAGGATTTGCACTCGGGGCCAAGCTGTGCCGACCAGATGCTGAGGTGAGGGGCGGGGCTGTGTGGACAGTGGCTGGCTCTTCTCTGAACTTGGACATGCCCCCCCTTGATCCTTCTGCTCTCCACCAGGTTTGGTGCCTCTTTGGGGATGGAGCATTTGGCTACAGCCTCATCGAATTTGACACCTTCGTCAGACACAAGGTCAGAGACAGGGCTCCTTGCCTAAGGGACACACTCAGGAGGATGTCATTGGGGTGGGAAGGGTACCCTTTTGTCTGGCAGAGATCTGGTTTCCTCCCTGTCTTCTGGCTTAAGCTTGGCATCTCCTCCTGCAGATCCCAGTGATTGCCCTGGTGGGGAATGATGCCAGCTGGACCCAGATTTCCCGGGAGCAGGTGCCCTCTCTGGGCAGCAATGTGGCCTGTGGCTTGGCCTACACAGGTATGGGGTAGTGGGGAGGTGAGGGACTATGAGAAGGGATACAAGAGTGAGGGGTTATGGGTGGCAAGGAAATACTATGGGAGGTGGGGCGGAGGGGTGTGTGTGTGTGTGTCCTGTAAAAGTTTAAAGGGTTGAGAGGAACACGGAGGGGTAAGGGACTTGGAAGAGTGAAGAGCCATGAGGCCTGGGTGCTACAGGTAAGTTTCAGGGGCCAGAGACAGGGCGGGTGACTAAGGGGAGGCCTAGGGGGCTATGAGAAGGGTGAGGGTCCGAAGGCAGGTGGAAGACTGAGTCTTAGGGCCAGGCTGGTTGTCTGGGGGCTGGGTCCCTGCCACCATCTGACTCAGACTTCTTCTATAGATTATCATAAGGCAGCTGAGGGTCTCGGGGCCCGAGGCTTGCTGCTTTCCCGAGAGAATGAGGACCAGGCAGTCCAGGTGCTGCGAGAGGCCCAGCAGCAGTGCAGGGATGGCCACCCGGTTGTGGTCAACATTCTCATTGGGAAGACTGACTTCCGGGATGGCTCCATCTCCGTGTAGGGCGACGTGGGTTGAGACCCGTGCTTCCTTCCTACCTTGGACTGTGCTCTGCTGGCCCGGGATCCATCCTTGCCTGCCTGAGGCCCACATTGAGACCCCAGTGACCCCGCGGCCTCCCTGAGGACAGGGAGAAGCTGCAGTAGTCAGGGCCCTAGGACCCTCCCAGCAGTGCTGGGCAAAGCTTAGGCTTTTCCCCTCTTGCTTCTTAACACAGAATAAACCACCTCTCGTACTTGAGGGCAGGTCTGTGCATATTGATTTATTGTCCACGAAGACAGAGGTGAAGGGAGGAAGTGGAGGCAGGAGGGGGCCCTACTTTCCCACCAGAACTGGGGATTTCAGGGTGCTTGTGACCTCTTTCCCCCCCTTCTGGTCCCTCAGAGAGCCCCACTGCCCACCCCACACGTCCACCCACACGCACCCTCACACAGTCACACACATGCACGGAGGCAATAAATAGTTTCCGTACCAAAGTGCCCAGCCCAAGGCTTCAGGCGGGGCCCCTCCAGAAGGGAGGGGTTAAGTGCTCAGATTTTTGGGGAGATAGGGAAGGGGAATGGTCTGACTCTGCTATCTTTATCTGCTGATGTAAGGCACCCTTAGGGCCTTGCCTGGAAAGGAGGACACGGAGACCAGCGGTTTTGCTGTGAGCCCCGAAAAAACCCAGTCTTTCCACAACTCACGGTGGCCGATTGTGGGTCATAGCATCTCCAGGCCTTTCTTTCCAGGCGCCTCCAGGTGGACTCTTAACCAGTAACCTTCCAGTTAGTAGCTTAGTCCAGCAGCCGTGCCACCCAGGGACCCCATGGGCCTTCCTGTGGCAGGAGAAGCAGAGCATGGCCTTCAAAGCTAATACTGAGTTGGTTGGCAGCAGCAAGAGAGTTGGCTGGTGTAGAGTGGGGGTGTCTCACCCTCCTAGGATGAGATGCTCACAGTAACTGGTGTTTCCCCCAAACAAAAGGGAGGCAAGAGGACCGGCCTAGCAAGCAGGAAAACTGCCTTTTTTTGGCAACAAGAGACACCCTTGGTACTCAGGAAAGCTGGTCCCTAAAACCTCAGTGCCCGGCCTTTGCAACCAGTGACCAGCAGCGGAAATGGGGCAGGATTCTCAGCAAGGGACTGGCTGGTCCCCTGGTAACTCCTTAACAACCCGAGTGGGGCCTTGGCAACAAATCTGGTCCTTGGTGATTAGAGGAACGCCTTAGCAACCAGGAGCTAGGCCTTGGCAACAGGTCTGGTCCTCGGTTGTTAGGGCTCCGCCTTAGCAACCAGGAGCTTGGCCCTTAACAATTGGGGTCCCGCCCCGCCCGCCTCAGAGGCACACGTTGATCTGTTTGGAGAGCTCTCGCTCCAGGTCCAGGATGAGAGCATCGAAGTCTTTGAGATTCAGGTGTGGGTTGAAGGGCGCGTCGAAGTCATCCTCGAAGTCAGCAGCGCCCTGCTGCTCTCCAGCCTCCTCTTCATCGTCCTCGCTGTCACTGCCCGTCACGTGGTCGTAGTCAGGCCCGGACAGGAAATCTCGCCCACAGGGCAGGAAGTCTCGTCCGCAGACGCTCCAGTCGCCAGCATAGCGGTTACTTGGGGGGCTTTCGGGACCTCCCCGGCCACGGGGCCTGGTCACCACTTCGGGGCCGGCCAGTGGCAAGTGCAGTGGAGGCTGCCGCTTGGGCCGCAGGTAGGGGGCAACATCCGAAGTCTCAGAGGGTCGCTGGGGATCTGTGGGGCGGAGAGGGCAGCTGGTGTATCACACCTCGGGACACGATCTCTGTTCTGATTGGCTACTGAGACAGCGAGGCCTCTGATTAGTCACTCCAAAGGCAACATCTGTGACCATAACAGGATCTCACTGGCTGCCCAGTAATGATTGATTACTAAGGCAACAAGGCATCCTGATGCCATGCCAAGGCTACATCAAGGATGTATATGTCCAATCACGTGGCTGCTGAGGCAACCAGGCACAAGCTTACCACATTGAGGGGTGTGTGTGGGGTGTGTGTCTCATGTTCAAGATTCTGATCGACCCCTTTAGACACAGGGGTCTGGCATTTATGTGTGATGTTCAAGATTCTGATTGGCCGCCCTAGACACAGGGGCCTGGCCTGATTGGCGGGACAGCAAACTCACCTGGCCAGGACTGTAGCAGATAGTGCAACACCTCGATGTGGCGTTTGAAATCCACTGCGCTCGCTAGGCCCGGGCCAGAGCTGCGGATGCGCGTCCGGGAGGGCGCCTGGCGCGCCGGCAGCAGCACAGGCCCGAAGCACACGGCCAGGTTTTGCGGGGTCATGCGGTTGTGAGCGTGGAAGGAGGAGACCAGGCGCAGGTGGTCCAGAAGAAGCGTTAGTGTGGCCTGGGGAGAGTGTTGGGAGGGTATGAGGGCGAACAAAGCCAGGTGCTTGTTGTCCTTGCGGGAGACTAAGGCTTATGTGGAGGCAACAGACGGAAGGGCGTATAGGCCAAAGGGGCAGCGCCAACACTGGAATCCAGGACCATCTGTGGTGGGAGACTATGACTGGAGGTTACTTAGTTTTGGGGCTGGCAGGGCTTGGACTCAAACCCCTTTCTCTCCACTGTGACGCTATGAGCTCATGCCCAATGCTCATGTTCCCAAACAACCTCAACAGGCCATCCTCAGCCCAACTCCTCAGCCAACTCACCCTCTCCACGTCTGGCAGACAGCTGAGGAGCGCTCTGGTGCCCTCAGGGCTTGGGGGAGCCCGGCCTGGGGGCCCCTGGGCCATGGCCTCCAGCACCACCTGATAAAGGGGCTGGGTGATGAGCGGAGTGGGCAGCTCTCGAAGATAATCCTTAAGGATGCCTGCGGACACATGACACTGGTCAGGGCTCCCCTGGCTTCTGAGGCCAGTGAGGGTCACGTGGGCCTGAGGGAGGACAGAAGTGGGTGACAGGCTCAGGAGGCTGAAAGCAAAGCCAGACAGAGGAGATGAAGTCCTAGAGGGTTCATCTGGAGGTGAGGGTTGAATGAGTGCAGAGGCAGAGGGAGGAGGGGCACGCTGACCAGTGATGACATTGATATCGGGATACAGGTCCTCAGAGAGGCAGACAGCAGCACTGTCTCGCTCAAAGGCATCCCGGAGCTCCTTTTTCACTGCCGCTGAGCCACACAGACGATACAGCCCCACGACCTAGAGGTAGGAGGTAGAGAGAGTATCTCTTCATTGGGGACTAGTAGGGTGGGAGCCAGTGAACGCTCTGGACTGGGGGGGATTGGGGAGTGGGCTGTAGCCTCACTGGCTGTCTTCCTGCTCCTGGCACCTGCTCCACCCTTGCCTTGGTGTCTGGATAACCTAGCTCATAAACACTCACACTGGAGCCTCTGACTTAGGAAAGGGATTCCTTGCCAGTTCATTTGTTACCTCCTCAGGGAAGCCTTCCTTGACGACCCTAACCAGCCCACCTCGCTCCCTTTGTGAACTCTCCTCCCAGCTTCAGTTTTACATTGGTGGGTAAATGGATTCGTGTTTTCCCTCTATCAGACCCTCCCTAGCTCCAGGAGGACCTGGATGCTGATCCATTATTACAAAGATGGATGACCCAGAGGGTCGCAGGCTGGTACCACAGTCTGGTGGACCCCCCACCCCCGTGCCCTGCGGTGACTGGGATGGGAGCTTGGGGGCCAAGCTGGGCAGCTTGAAGGCAAGGAGACTCACCCGCAGCCCACGGCGCTCAATCTGCCCCACGCACTTCTGGATGATGAGGGGCACCTGCCCAGGCGGCTGCTCCCGCTCCACCAGGAGAGGCAGGGGCAGACCGAAGACTCGGGGCTCAGCTGTGCCTGGGGCTTCCTGCTGCTCCGAAAGTGTCAGCTTCGCATACAGCAGCCCCTGGGGTTCTAGCCTCACCGCCAGCTGCTGGGCCTGGCACCCTGGAAGGAAGGAAACAGGGCTGCACTGGGACTGCGTCCTGCAGGTCCCTGCACTCTGGCTCCCACGCTCCAGTCATCCCAGGCCCAGCACCCGAGGGACTCCTTTAAGGGGCAGAGCCCTGAACTGGGGCAACTCCTGCATGTTTCTGGGCCCAGGCACTCACCCTCCTCTTCCATTCACTCCAGGCCTAGGACCCGGGGCGCCAGGGCCCTGTCCCCCTACTCCACAGCACCTCCAACCTAGACCTAGTACTCTAACCACTGAGTGGGCAAGCCCTGAATTTGGTCTGCTCCGTACCTTCCCGCCTCCTATGATCCAGAGCCCTACACAGTTCTCCCCCTGCTCGCCCTCCCTCCTCCCAAACCATGCAGTACCTCGGAAGACCATGGGCAGCAGCACCGACCCCTGGGCGCAAGGTCGGTGCCGTCTCACGCCGGGGTCCCAGGCCAGCACCAGGGCTCGCAGCAGGCGGGCAGCCTCGAGCTCCAGGTGGAAAGTGTGGTCCAGTCGCAGGAAGTCCGGGCCGCCTCGCAGCGGCCCCGTGCGCGCCCGGGCCACCCCGTCCACCTGCAGCAGGCAGCAGAGATCCCGCGCGGATGCCCCAGACGCCGGCCGCAGCCCCCCGAGCCCGTACAGGTGCAGGCTCAGGCGGCCCCAGAGCGCAGACGGGGGTGCGCGCGCCGCGGGCCCGGCTTCATAGGGTCGGAAGGCAGTAGGCGACGGGGGTCCTGCCGTGCGCTCTGGCGAGTCGCCGTCACTCAGGTAGCCAGATCTGAGCCCCCGAGAGCCTCCGGCCCCTGCTGCGCGCCCAGGGCCTCCGACGCTACTGTCCAGGTGGTAGCGGCTGATGACCGACCCTGCAGGGGCAGCCCTGTCCCGCTCGCGGCCTCCGCGGGGGCCCCGCAGGCTCAGGCGGCGCCGCAGCTCCGGCAGCTTCTTCATCTTCAGGGACAGGCGCCGCGCGGGGCCCGGGGACTTGGTGCGCGAGGCCTTGGCCAGGGGCGCGGGCGGGGCCTCACTGTCTAGCTCCCCTGGGCCTGGCAGCGGCCCGGCGGGCACTGGCGGCCGGGGGTCTTCCTCAGGGATGGGGTTGTACCAGATCTCGCCGGCCGGCTCCCCACTGCTGGGCGTCCCGAGCCCCAGAGTGGCTTCCTCGGGCGGCTTGGCTCCGCCCAGCACCCAGCGACGGCTGCTGGGCTCCAAGCTTTGCAGGTAGGCCCCCCGTGCGGGGCTCCGCGAGGCTTCGGGGCTAGGGGGTCCCTCTGCGCCCGCAGGGGACCCCTCAGGGGCCGGGGGTTCTGGTTCCGGGGGACTGGGCTCTGCGCGATGGGCTGGGCGGCCTGGGGAGGGCAAGGAGATACGACTCAGTATGCGGCATCCCCTTGCCCCAGCCCTGGCCGCCCAGCACCACCTCTAAGCTTAGACCAGCACCAGCTCCGAGCTCAAATAACCCAGTTTTTGCCACGGCTGAAATGCTCAGCACTGGTACCCACTAGATGCTTGTTGGACAGCTGACAGCCAGCCCTGGAGCATGGTGTGACAATGGAACGGCCACTGACTCCTGAGGTCTAGGATGGGTGGCCTGAGGTGAAGATTTCAACGCACACACTCATACCTGCCCTCTCTCTCAGGCCCTGGTGTCCAAGTGGAGACCATATGTCTACATTCCAGCCTTGGGGTCTGGGTTGATTTCTAAGGGTCCTGCTCACATGTTCCCACCCCTTTCCTTAGCCCCATACTCCCTGTCACTCACAGGTTGATCTTGGACACTTCACTTCCCCTCTCTTAGCCTCAGCAAGCTGGGAAGTGAGAGATCGCGGTCCACCCCACAGTGAACCTCAGAATCGGGGCCTTGTCAAGCACACAGTGGATGTTCACTTGGGGGACCGGCAATCGCGTCCTGGTGAAGGCTCTCTCTTCCCTGCAGACGACCCACCACTAGCCCATTCCTCACTCCACCGCTCAGAGACAGCTTCCAAACTCCGTCTCAGCCCTGGCCAGGCCTCTTGACCCAGGCCAAACCCTAGCAACTTCTGGAAGCCTCTCCTTCAAGGCTCCTTCCTCCTCGCAGACATCCGGGGTGATTTCCTGTGTGTGTTTGTAACTCCATCCCCTCTCCCAACCCTGGGAATCTTTGGGAATGACTTGGAATCAGTTCGTGGGATGGTCTACCCACTTTCTCCCCCTTTCCAGGGACGCCCTATCCCATGCAGCGTATGTTTCCCTACAGCATAACAGGTTTGCTGGCTGACCCCTCCTCCAGTCCCCTTTTTGACAGCTCCAGGGCTCTATTGCCGCGGTCCCTAAACTGACATAGACCAAAGGGCCAGTTAAGTCACTTAATTTGCCACAAGGTGCTCCGTGACTCAGTTTCCCAGTCTGTATAAAGGGAAGACTGTATGTTCCCGGGTGAAGTGAGTGAAGGCGGCTGAAACACTTGCCAAGCTGCAAATCCCTGGTCGGCGAGCGGGAGCGGGTGGGGTGGGATGCCGGCCCCTTCCCCATCTCTGCTGGCCCGGCCAGACAGGGCCCCTGCGCCTCCGCCTCCCCGCTCCTCCTCGCCTCCACCCTCCAGGCGCTCCGTCCCGGCCCCATTTCCTGTCGGGCGAGGCCCCCTCCCGGGCCTCCCAGGGCGCCCGCAGCGCTGGCATCCCGGGCCCGCTGCACATAACGGTCTGCGCCACCCCCTCTTCGCCCTAGCCCCTTACTCCCAGGGCCCTGGCCCCCCCGCCTCCAAAGGGTCCCAGACCCGGTGCCCCTCGGCGTCTGCAAAGGGCCACCGCGGGGCGTCCCCCCTGTCCCCGCGGCCGCTGCTCCTCGGGGGGCCTCGGGACGCCGCCCGCGCAGCGCGCCCCGCCGCCGACTCCCCCGCGCCCCGCTCACCTCTCTCCT